GAAATGGTAACTATTTCTACTTTACTAGAAACAGGTCATAGGCCTTTATTTGTTGCAAATGTAAAGCCCGACTAGCTTTCAGAAACACAGTACAAGTTTTATTGTAAAAAGATGCTCCAATTTACAAACAGGAGTAATTTATTACATTCAAGAAACAGTTTATCCAATAAACTTCACCTTACACAGTCATGTAAACATCAAGCAGTTTTCAACCTAAAACTATTAAATCAAAAAACCCACCGTACACAAAAGGGTAAAAGTATGGAAAAAACTGAATTAATTTAAGTGTAGATCATTGCATAAGCAGTAGCAACAGCAAGACTGGAATTACAGAAAAACCACCAAGAACTGTTGCCTACTTGAGAATACTACCTTTGTGCAGTCTCATTTATGGGATAAAAGTGCAAATACCAAAAATACCTTCACATTGTTCCTTACCATTTAAATGCTTCATCTTAAACACAGTATTGCATTCTGTTTTTTTAAATGGACATTGCCAATCTTCAGGCTAAATGAAATCATACTAATAGATGACAATTTGCTGCAGCTGTCCACCTTAATTATGTAGGAAGGGGACAGATCTTATTGCACTGATGTGCAAATGTTTATAGTGTTTTCCTCTTTCTTCAGTCTGTACCAGTGATTCTCAATGACATAAGCAACTGCTATTAATTCAGTTAGCTATCGTTGAGCATAACACAGCTCCCCCAAGCCTATAACTGAATGTTGTACTATTTAAAGATCATCACTGACACTTAAGGAAACAAGGGTTTCTTAAAATGACAACTGTATTGCCAAATAATCAAATTAACCAATACAAATATGAAGAACACTGGTTGTTTCTAGTATAAAATACTTTGTCTCTTAAGGTTCTTATCAAATTCACAACTAAAGTCCTAATTAAACACTTACTGACTGAATAAATGACAAAGAAGGCACTTACCAGGTATTGCAGTTTAACCAGGAAGCTTTTAACATTCAAATATACTAAAGTTACTTGAATTTAAGTAAACACCAGTAACTTGTGTTTTCCAGCTAACAAAAAGCCCAGAAATCCCCCAACAGAGTGACTGACATAAGGCTGCAACTTTCATATAGTTGTTGGATCTTAAGATGACAGCAGAGGAAACTTGTGATATTCTAATGCAGCATGCCACTAATTACCGTAGTTTCTTAATCTAAACTGACATACATCCTGGCTGGTCTTTCTTTAGTATATTTTACATTTAACAGTATGTATCACCTGATGTACAAAAACTGCCTATATACACATTTAAATATAGTTGTTGAAAAAGGGGGTAGTGAGGGAAAGCTGGCTGTTGTGCAAGTACTTACCATCACCATTTTAGTTAACGTTTTCATTGCACAATAACTAAAGCGCTCAAATTTGAAGAGAAGGTGATCGCGCAATAAAAATACTGCAAAACATTTCACTGGGTGCTAGCGGCCAATCTGAACGTTTTAGGAATGGCTTACAGACAAGCTTATTACTAAGTAATTTTTAAATATGTAACTTGATTCTAGATATCCACATGACATTAGTCAAAGCAGTTGATGACCTACACTACAGATTTGTTTTTTTGGTCCATACATCACATTTCTTAGTTTCAACTTTTCCATCAATTGTCCTGTGACTGAGGAAAAGCTTTACACTACCCCAATTATTTCAGTGTTACACATTGCCACTCTTGTATTGTATCACAGGGGAACCCTCTGATCATTTATATGATATATATTATAAATATATATAAAGTATTATTTAGGTGCATGCATCATGCAGAAATTTATACAGTGAACTTGAAATAAAGCCTCATTATGTAATCTCGCTACACTGTGAAGAAAGCAGCTATGATCATAAATTTAAAGTAAGTTTCAGATTATGGAGCCCAAGTTTCTCCATGGAGCTTGGATTTCATTTTCACTACTAGTCTATAAACTGATTAGACATGCTTGGGAATGACCTTGCTTACATTACCTCCCTCTTCAGTATTACAAATTGCTTTTTCTTTTTGTCTTCCTCGTCCTCACTTTATCCCTCCCTTAGCACAAAAATAAAAAAAAGTTAATTTAGCCTTCCAGTCTCCCAGCACTGGCCCTATTGCTTTGTTTCATGCTTGTTCTAATGTTGATGGGAGAGAGGAATGAAATTCCTGATTCCTATTCAGTTTAAATGGTTTATTAAAAATACGTATGTTCGTCAGAAGGGTTTAAAAATTTTTTCCTCTGGCTACAAGATCACTGGCTGTAAAGAATGGAGATGCCAAAAGAGATGCTCTAGACTTACTGTCCAAAGCCTCCACTTTCTTCCCACCCTTCACTGGCTTACAAGAGGTTACACCAAACAGCATTTATAAAAAAAACAAAACAAATAGAACTGATGATTCAACATCATCATGTGTTTAGATTTTATGTCAAGTAAAAGCTCCTCTTTAAAACCAGTAATGGTTAAAGCTTGAGTGTCACTTTTAGTAAAAACCCAGTTGATTGACAAAAAAAAAAGTCTAAAACGCCTCTAAAAGGTAGTCAAGCCTGTTTTGTTTCAAACAACACACATGCGTGGACAGCATGACTGTGTCAGGTTTGCTGTTGTTGTAACCATTTCTGTTCAGGATCCTGCAGCAACAATAGATCTATTACACCCCTTTGTAAAAAGTCTGGAAAAAAGCACGAAGTATGAGAGACTCACCCCCTTTGTTAATATGCTTGTTTTCAAAGTCATTTGTGGGATTTTTGCCATCCATGCACACATGTTGCACAGAGTATTCATGCTTTCCAATTATTATGCATAAATAGTATTAAATGGTAAGTGCTTCATTAGTGTAGAATTTCAATAGCATTTCAGAATGTGACACAAAAACTTATCCTAGACTTCCTTATTTAAGCCAAGATCTCTACCATTGCAGTTCAGCTGTTATTTTCTATACTGATCTGCAGGTCAAACTCTAGTACTGTAAATGCATATGGAGAGCTGCTTCCATTGACTTTATGGGCAGCCATATGTATCCAAGAATAGAATATGGTCCTTAAATATTTACAAGCATTACACTGTTAAGTAAGAGAAGGAGAGAGCTTTCATGCAACAACTGAAACAGCATAATCCAAGTTTAGCAATGTATTGATATAGCAGGTGTGATACTACAATAGAAGCTATGAAGATATAAATTAAAAAAAAAAAACAAAAGAAAAACTAGTCAGATTACCTACCAGTATTCAATCACAGACCCAGGTAGGTAAAATATACCCTTCTGAACAGACAACTCAAGGTGCAGAACCAGTCCGTTATTAAAATGTGTCTTCTGTCAGTATCCAATTATCTTATCCTGCTCCCCTCTTTTGCAGGAAAACAGGCAATACACTGGCATTTACACTAACATTATGGTGTAGTGGGGAGGGGGAAATGTCTTCAAGATTTCATTGTCTCTCACTATAAACTGCAAAAGTTTTCCAGTATGGCTAGGTCTTGCTCTATTTCTTCCCCTCAGATTTCAGCGGAAAGTGAAATTTGTTGGGGAGGGGAAGGGGGAGAAGAGGGGAAGCAGTCAGTCATAAACCCAAACTTCTAAAAAAAAGATCCAGTACCACATAACAGAAACGCTCCAAATGTAAATAAACAAACTGCAACCCGTACTACAAAAGTAAATTACCAGAAAAAAAAAGTCTTAACTATCCAATAAGCAATACAAAAAGCAAGTTTTGATCATGCAGCCTCAGAGAAAGCTGCCTTCAAAATCTGGGTTTTCAAATAGACGGACTGCATTAAATGGAAGGCTCCAAATTAATTCTAAGCAACACTTTCTATATTTGTCTGTTCTTGGCATTATGGTGATTTATTTATTTGCTAGCACTCAGCGTTTCCTCCTTCCCCCAGCATGGTATTTCCAATCTTACACACCCAAGATGTTGGTAAATACTACATGGAACACTCCACTGTACCTCATCTGTGCAAAACATGGACCTTCTCTTAAGGCAGCATCCAAATATATTATCTCAAAGTATCTGAAACATTACAATGTTACCAGGGTAAAAAGCAGAGGGCACCAGTCCAACTTGCACAAAAGAAGCAGTTATAGGTCACCTTCTGGTACCTTTCAGAACTTGGATTGCACTCAATACTGTGGCTGTTAGAAAAGGGACAGTTTCATTAGTAATTGTAACCTATTAATTTTCCAGAGGTAAGTAAACAGCTATTGAAGTGTGCCACAGGCTAAGCTTTGCACAGTTTTGTACATTTCGCTTTGAAAAGATATGTATTCTCCCACTGGATTTTTGCTATTAACTTCAGGGAAAGCCAGAACAGATCTTTAAAACTTTTGTTTGAACAATTTGGTTTGAGAGTTAAGGGCCTCCATCAATACTATGGACTAGGGGTTTGGTTACTAAAAAGGTAAAATTACCTTTGAAATGTAGCTTTGGTATACGTAAAGTAATTACACTACTGTGTATACTGCCTGTGATACCAGTAGTTTATCATCAAACACTGATTAAAGAGTAGCTCATAATGGCTCAACAATCAAGAATTAAAAATTATAGCAGATCAGCACAACTACCTTTTAAAACTCCTTTGTCCTCTCTCTACACCCTCTCAAAATAAAAAAATGCAGATGTGTGACAAATCGTTTTATTCTTCAAAGCAACCTTGGAAAGAGTACATAATACACATTTTTAAAAACCTCCCTAAATAAATATTTTATTCCAGTGTAACACATTTGATGTTTCCATGATTTAAAATCAACTAAACACAGAAATCTATGTTTAAACAACATTACATAAAAATGACAAAACCAGGAAATTCCCAGTCAAGGTCAACAATACATCCATTAACTAAAGCTGTTGAGCTATCAACTTTTCCACTTTCCCAAAAGGACAAGGACACAACCGACACCTTGTTGTTTAACTTACCAGTAATGTCATGGTTTATGTTACATACCAGACTTTAAGTGCCATGGAAATATCCCCTTCACTAGATTCAAGAAGTTCAAGATTCTTCTCTGATTTCTGATTTGTATGAGGGTGATCAATTAAGATCGCTGTGTGTCCTGGTCTATTCCTGCCAATGCAGGATAGTTCTAAAAATATGGTTAAAATACTCTGAACAGTCTCACTTTAAGTTATATTAGGGTGCCCACCACTTTCTTTGAGAAATTGTTTACAGCCTCACATTTAAGAAATGTTTCCCATACGTTTAGTCTAAATTGCTTTTAGTTCCATGACACAAACACCTGATCATATTACCATGGACTCCCTCTTTAGTATGTCCAACATACACATTCTTTTTCACTCCAGGATGCATGATTGCAGATTAAAATGAATAAGCATAAACTGGGAATTGGCAAGCACAGAGGTGGAAACACTTGGCTTTGTACCACTATTAAAATTCTGAATCACAGCTAATTTGATTGTTTATTACCTTACAGAAGCCAGGCAGTCATTTCAAATAAGCAGCCTAGATTTTACTTTAATCATTCTTCTCTCTGTCTGTATTGAATTGCTTTCTCCCTGGGGAGCTAAGAGCAATCACTGGAGAAGAACTAAATATGTTTGAAGGTGGCTGCATGGACACTTTAGCTGGGGATTCCCCTGGGATCTTTTGAGATGTCTCTACCACAGAGTTTCTCACTGTATCATTCATTTCAATTACTTCAAAGTCTGCTTCATTCCATTCTCCTGCATCCTCTTCATCTTCCTCATCTTCATTAAGTTCAAAGTTGGACAACAAAGCTTTCTGGTCCTCGCTCCCACCACCATCTTTTAACTTACTCTCACTGGGAGAAGTGGCTAATTTATACATCACAGGAAATAGTACTGCTGTCATTACAGATGTTCCCAATGCAGCATACATCATCACAGGGACATTGTGAAGTTTTCCTTCAAGAAACCCAACCACTGCTGGAAAGCACATCTCCCCCAAGGCAGCACCAACTACAAAGAGAGAAGCAGCCTTTCCTTGTATGGTGGTGTACTGTTCAATCCAGGAAATGCCACTGGGAAAGATGGTAGCCATTGAAGCACCATACACTGCTGTCCCAACCCAGAGCGAAATTGGATGCTTACTCAACAGTGCCAGGAACAGAGAAGAGACAGTGGAACCTATGACACTCAGCAGAATCATAGTACCAGGGTAGAAACAGGTAGCAAAACAGATTGCCAGTCCTCTGCAAGCTGCAAATGCTCCCCAAAAAAGGGAGTTCAAACCAGCTGCTTCACTTTCTTTCATGTCTGCATAAACCTCTGCATAATTGAAAATGTAAGAGCCATAGGTGACCTCTGCTCCTACATAGCAAAAGAAGAAAAGGAAAAGGAGAATGAGAAGGGCATAGTGGTATTTGGCAATTTGGCATTTCTGTGGAGAAGCTTTTGCTTTATCTCGTGCTGAGCCAGTCCTTGAATACAGAACAACAAACAACATAGAAACTATCAAAATATAGGTCCCTATGACAATGTAGGACCACATAAAGCTCACATTAGAATGCAGTTTCATTGCTGATCCAGACCGCGTGTTAGGTATATCACTCGGAACAGAATGATTTGTATTTTCATCTTCTGTTTGGACTTTAGGAGATATGAAGCTGCCCAATGCCATTTTTGTCAGGATTGGGGCCACAAAGGCACCCAGTGCAAAACTGAAGTGTAAGGCCTGCATATGTGGTCCAACCTCTGCTCTCCATATATTCAGTGCAAGGACATTTCCACCTGCAGATTAAAGAAATGAGGATCCATTTATTTAATATGGAAACTTAAGATACAGTATGGTTTCTTCCCAATCCGTTATTTAGTTAATATATATCTAGTCAATCTGTCAGAACAATCTACAGTGGAAGCAGATTATAAATAACTTATTTTATAATATATGGAATCAAAGGTCATTACCTTTTTCAGGGCATGAAATGTGCAAACTGCAAATCTAGCTAGAGTGAAGCTCTGCTTATAAAAATTAAGCAGTAGAAGGTTCCACTGCACATGCCGGTTTTTTTACCTTTTTATCTCAAGAACAAGAACTAGCTCATTTCAAACAGTGTTCCATTTGGCACTATTATGGCATTCCAGATAAAGCTCAGGATCTTCTTTGATAGACTGTTTGTGACACTCAGTCGTAGGCTCTCTTCTCAGCAGATAGCATCAAATTTGCATTAGAGCTGCTCACTCACTTAGTCACACAAATGGGTTGAATAAGTAGTTAATTGAGGAATATACCTCTACCCCAATATAACGCGACCCGATATAACACGAATTCAGATATAACACGGTAAAGCAGCGCTCCGGGAGGGCGGGGCTGCGCGCTCTGGCAGATTAAAGCAAGTTCAATATAACGCGGTTTCACCTATAACGCAGTAAGATTTTTTGGACAGCGTTATATCGGGGTAAAGGTGTACTTGGCAATCTTTCCGTGCCATCCCACATACAGTCAGGGATATACCAGCAGATTCATTCTAGAGATTATTCCAGCCTGGCATTTACCTCACCATTTGCATCACAATCAGGAAAAAAACTGCTCTTACTGTCTTCAGTATGGATGATGTTACTGTAGTAACAGCGAGAGAGAGTAACTTTAACGGCAAGTGACAATGGATATGAACACAAATTTAGTTTAGCATACATATACCATGCATGCTAGAAAACAAAACATACATATTCCTCCTCCTTCACTAAGCGAAATTTAACTATTTTAGCATGCCCTAAGCCTATACTGACAACACAACATGCTTGCCACACAAATTGGAAGTCCTAATGATGAGCATAAACTCAGCTCTTGTGGATCTCTAGCACCTCATGAGTGCTAACAATTCTCTCAGATAGATACAAGGGGAGTTGACAGACTCCCAATGACTCATTCAATCCACAGACCTTCCTGCAGCAGGAAGAGGATCAGTTCACTTACCTGTGTCTAGAACACCCATGGAAGTGCCAATGACTGACATCAGGGCAGTTAACAATAGCGCTTTCTTACACCATGGTATGGCATAAAGACCAACTGCTGTTCCCAACATGGTTAACCCTATAAAGGTAATCCAAAATCCTTACTGAAGCTCCAGTTTTCAGCATGACTTCTACAGAGATCCAAAACAGTCAATTTATTATAATTAAATCTGTGTTTTATGATAGACTGAATTAGTGTTCATGACAGCTGGTTGAAAAGACTTAGATGGAACCATTTTTTCCTCAGAAATTGCCTGTTAAAATCAAAATACTTCACAAAATCGAGCCTAATTTGAGCAAAATTTACTCTTTGAGAAAAACTGAAAAAAAGTTCTGACTATGTAAAATGGGATGTTTTGAGATTTTTGGAACAAAAGGTTTCAGTTTTTCATTTTGAAGTGACTGTTTAAAAAAAAATTATTTTGCATTACTAGATAGTAATATAAAATAAAAACCAAAATGAAACATTCTGGTTCTGTCAAACCAAGACATTTTGATCACAGAGCACAGCTTATTTTAGATTGAAAAATTTTGAAATCTTCCAGTTTCATTTCAATTCAAAACAAAGTCAAATTTTCAAATGTCAAGTTCTTCACAAAACTGAAATGTCATCCTCTGACCAGCTCTAGTGATCACACTAGGAAGTCCTCAACTGAACTATTTTCTCCAATTACTCTCAATGCACAAGTTTAGCTTCCATTAACATTAGTAAGTTATATGCCCACATCATAAGTAGGCTCCTAATTCACTGTAGAGTTTCAAAAAGAATAAGCTCTGTTAACAGAATTTATTAAATTTAAACTTAGTCAACCTATGAGATGTGATCTTTTCTCCATTGCTTCTCCAATTGAAAATTGAAAGCATGCGAATTATTTCTCAAATTGACAACACATGAAAAATTAAGGCAAAACCTAAGAAATAGTTCTACAGATAACGGTGTTTAGAGCTTGCCATCAGTTCACCTTACTTTTGAATATGATAAGCATGAAAGATTTTGCTTTATTAGTTCAGAAATCTCTGTTTCAGGTTTCAGATAAATTTGTCTTCAGATTACTTACTTGCCTCCTGTCTGACAGATAAATGAGAATCAATGAGAAGCAGAAGATTGGTAATAGATTTTATTTATAAATTTTGTGCATGTCAGAGTTTAATGGAACAGGCGAACAATTTTAGCAGGTGCAGTGTATTTTAACGGAGGTTGAGTTTGCAACATTTTTTTTTTTTTGTAAAGTTGTAACTCAATTGTGTGAAATGGTATCACTGACAGCATACAGGTGATCAGAGGTGAGTCTCAGCTGAGCTTCTCTCATTTTTCTCATGTAGCTTGTGATGTAGCCATTTTCAAATTTGATTTGTTTTATATAAATATTCTCAGAACCAGCCATTTGATATAGAAAAACAAAAATCCAACTCTGCTTCTTTTTGTTTCAGCAAAAGGCATCTTGTATTCAGTTCTGATAGAGATAGATATGGTCTTTTGCAATAAAAGGAGACAGGAATGAAACTGACAACTAGAAACAGAATTTCATAGTTTTTAATTACATCACTCCTGCAGCAGTGTACAATATTTTTAAAGGAGTATGACAATGCTGGTGATAGCATACATGCAACTTTCATCGTGCAAGACTCCGGGGTAAAGGCCAACAGGATACTTGCATGACACAAGGTAAGGGAGATGAAAGCTGGCTTGAGATATATTTTTGAACACAACTTTCACAATTTGTTACTATACCAAGCCCTCTGGAAATAGTGCAGGTTATGACACTTAATAAAGATATTAGAGATTCATCAAGCTATACATTTGTCACATACAAAAGAATTATTTTGAGTACACTTACCCAAGAGGAGATAAGGGTTCATGCTGTCAAAGATAATCCCTCCAATCACTGAACCACCAAGGTACCCCAGAGAACGACCCACGAAAATGTAGTAAATATCACTGACATTTTTATTCACATTTGCAGCCAAATCTTGAAATGTAGGTCCCAGGATAGCAATGCTCATACCCTGAAAAACAGTGAGGATCTTTTGTTTGTTCATTTTAGAGGGCAGAAGGTTAACAAAATAAACTCTCACCAGCAGCAAGAAATGATATAGTTCATATTATGTTACTAAGACTTTGTCGGCAAACAAAAATTATACCATTTTAATTAAGTCACTTTAGAAACTGATTTAGTTAAACAATGCAGTCTTATGTTGGGGGCACTCTTATTTTGGTTTCAAAGTGCCAGTTATCAATGTATTAACAGGTGTGTTGTGAGCAAGACACGAGAAGTCATTCTTCCGCTCTACTCTGCTCTGGTTAGGCCTCAGCTGGAGTATTGTGTCCAGTTCTGGGCACCGCATTTCAAGAAAGATGTGGAGAAATTGGAAAGGGTCCAGAGAAGAGCAACAAGAATGATTAAAGGTCTTGAGAACATGACCTATGAAGGAAGGCTGAAAGAATTGGGTTTGTTTAGTTTGGAAAAGAGAAGACTGAGAGGGGACATGATAGCAGTCTTCAGGTATCTAAAAGGGTGTCATAAGGAGGAGGGAGAAAACTTGTTCACCTTAGCCTCTGAGGATAGAACAAGAAGCAATGGGCTTAAACTGCAGCAAGGGAGGTCTAGGTTGGACATTAGGAAAAAGTTCCTAACTGTCAGGGTGGTTAAACACTGGAATAAATTGCCTAGGGAGGTTGTGGAATCTCCATCTCTGGAGATATTTAAGAGTAGGTTAGATAAATGTCTATCAGGGATGGTCTAGACAGTATTTGGTCCTGCCATGCGGGCAGGGGACTGGACTCGATGACCTCTCGAGGTCCCTTCCAGTCCTAGAATCTATGAATCTATGAATCTATGAATTTAACTTACAACTTGGTAAGGAATTTCACCTAAGACAAGCCCGAAATAGGTTGGCAGGTTACTTAGGGTATGTCTACACTGCCCATGTTACAGTACGGCCACGGCAGCGCTGTGAGGTGGGCAGTGTAGTCACGCTTTATCACTGGGGGAGACCTCTCCCGACAATAAAAAATAACCACCCCAAACGAGGGGTGGTAGCTTTATCACCAGGAGTGTGGCTCCCGGTGATAAAGCGCTGTCTATACTGGCGCTTTTCAGCTCTAAACCATTTGTCACTCGGGGGTGTTTTTTCACACCCCTGAACGACTAAAGTTTTAGCGCTGAACGTGGCAGTATAGACACAGCCTTACACAGCAAGCTCTTCAAGGCAGGGATAGTCTTTTTGACTGTTTTTGTACAGCACAATTGAGTTCTGGTCCTGGACTATGACTCCTAGGTGCCATGGTAATACTTCTAATGAATAAGGCTACAATTTAGTCACGGAAGTCGTGGAAGTCACAGAATCCGTGACTTCCAGCGACCTCCATGACTTCAGCAGTTGGGAGCTGCAGGGTCCCCCGCCGCCCACAGGGCCAGGAGCTGCGGGGTACCCCTGCTGCCTCTGGCAGCCATCGGGGATGGCGGGGAACCCCCAAGCTCGCAGGCAGTGGAGGCAGCATGGGAACTCCCAGCCGTGGCGGGGGAACCCCCGGGCTCCCGGCTCACCATGAGCCTCTGGCCCCTGTGGGGGTGACATGGGAGCCGGGGGCACCCCATAGCTCTCAGCCTCCACAGGCAGCGGACAACCCCCGGAGCTGCAGGCAGTAGGGGTACCCCGCAGTCCCCTGCGCAGCTGCCCCCCTTCAGGTGGTTTGGGGATGCGCAGATCCCCATTTTGTCCCGGATATTTTTAGTAAGTCAGGGACAAGTCATGGCTTCCATTAATTTTTCTTTTTTGCCCGTGACCTGTCCCTGACTTTCACTAAAAATATCCAGGACAAAATCTTAGCCTTACTAATGAATAATAAATATTAAAATATCACTTGATGTAATCCAAATCTGTTCTAGCGAGATCATTTCTAAATTTACATACACATTTTCTTTTAACTGTGTGAAAAGCACCAAGTGAAATTTAAGTTTCGCTTGCAATCACCTTTGGAATAAGCTTGTGGAGCACCTAAGTGAGTTTCACAGTACCTCATCGTGAGAACAATACCAAAGGAAAACTTAGCTGTCTGGGACAGTCATCATTTCAGTACCAGCAGTGTGCTCAATGCTGTGCAAAATAAAGGTTCCTATACAATCCAATGCTACAGAAACATTACTCCTCAAGCAGCTGAGCAGCTGGGATAGTTTCACCTGCCTGTGAGACAAACCAAGCCCAAAATACTATCTAGAAATTACCAGGAAGCCCACATGGCTGAGTTCAACCCTAGGGCTCTATCAATGCTCTCTGTGCTGACTCATTAGTTTATTACTATCTGAATGGTGTGGAGAGAATGAATAAAGCAGTGTTATTTATCCCTCTACATAACACAAGAACCAGGGGTCACCCAATGAAATTAATAGATAGCAGGTTTAAAACAAACATAAGGTAGTATTTCTTCACACAGCCCACGGCTATCCTGTGGAACTCGCTGCCAGGGGATGTTGCAAAGGCCAAAACTATAACGGGGGTAAAAAAAATTACATACATTCGTGGAGTATAGGTCCAGCAATAGCTCTTAGCCAAGATAGTCAGAGATGCAGCCCCATGCTCTGGGTATCCCTAAACCTCCACATATCGGCAGCTGGGACTGGACAACAGGGGGTGGATCTATCACTAATTACCCTGTTCGGGTTCTCGCTGAAGCAGCTGGCCGCGGCCCTGTCAGAGACCAGCTATGGGGCTAGAGGGACCATTGCTCTGCCCCAGTACTGCAGGGCCTGTTCTCACTGGCCCCGCACAGGGACCTGCCCCCGGGGAGAAGGGGCTGCGTCAAACCATCGCCTTCACCAGGTCCACCCCCAGCACAGGGGCTGCCCCGGGCCGTCGGTGCCCGCAAGGCGGAAGGGGAGCTCCAGCCCGGGCCCACCCCCGCTCACCAGGCCCAGGAAGGCGGAGCACAGCACCCCGGAGATGCACCATCGCAGCAGCAGCAGCAGCGCCGCTCCCTCCCCGCCCCGGCTCCTGCCGCCGCCGGCTACGATCACCTCAGGCCGCGGCGCGGGCTCCGGGAGGAGACTCTGCTCCGCCGCCGGCCCCGCACCGCCCCGCCGCGTGTCCTCCGCCTCCGGCCGGGCGAAGCGAACCTGCTTCTTCCTGCCGGCGCCGGCCATGGCTCCGAGTGCGGGGAGCGGGCCGGGCCGGGCCGGCCCCGCCCCCACGGGCCGCGGACACCGAGACACCAGCGTCTCCACTAACGTGACGCGCAGAACGAGCCAGGGACTACAACTCCCAGCGTGCACCGCGTCTCCCCGCCCCACCTACCGCGGTGCACGCCGGGAGCTGAGAGGCGGTTACTGGCTCGCAGTCGCAGCCCGCGTATGGACGTTGCCTGGCAGCCGGGGGAACCGGGAGGGCGGTTGGCCCGGGTACAAAATGGCGGCAGATTTGCCCGCCCCTCCCTATTCACCAATCTCGTTTTCGCTTTGTGGGCACGTGAGCACAAACCACCCAGAACAGCGGCCATGCGCGAGGCACGTGACTGTGTGCAAGCGGCCACCTTGGCAACCTCGGGGGCCGACTTGCAGCGGCCAGCATTGTGCCGCCCCGCCCGTGCTCTGTGCTCTGCCAGGGGCTCGGGGGGAGGTGCCGCTCCCTTGGCAGGCAGCCCGGCCCTGGGGTCTAGAGGGGTCACATGCCACGGCACACACCCCATGGGCCAGACAAAGCACCACGGTGCAATGACGCCAAAGGCCTCAGCTGAGCCTGCTGGCCGGGGAGGGGAGTCATGGCCCCTGTCTCGCTTACCCGCCCCCTGCTGTGCACGAGGGGCCAGCCCCAGTGTGTGCTTGCTGCAGGGTAAGGCCCCTACTCTCGTCCCCTAACGTCCCTACTCTACTTGCACTACATTGATGACATCTTCATCTTCTGGACCCATGGAAAAGAAGCCCTTGAGGAATTCCACCGTGATTTCAACAATTTCCATCCCACCATCAACCTCAGCCTGGACCAATCCACACAAGCAGTCCATTTCCTGGACACTACTGTGCTAATAAGCAATGGTCACATAAACACCACCCTATACCGGAAACCTACTGAACGCTATGCTTACCTACATGCCTCCAGCTTCCATCCAGGCCACAACACACGATCCATTTTCTACAGCCAAGCTTTAAGATACAAACACATTTTCTCCAATCCCTCAGACAGAGACAAACACCTACAAGATCTCTATCAATCCTTCTTAAAACTACAATACCCACCTTCTGAAGTGAAAAAAACAGATTGACAGAGCCAGAAGAGTACCCAGAAGTCACCTACTACAGGACAGGCCCAACAAAGAAAATAACAAAACACCACTAGCTGTCACTTTCAGCCCCCAACTAAAACCTCTCCAGCACATCATCAAAGATCTACAACCTATCCTGAAAGATGATCCCTCACTCTCACAGATCTTGGGAGACAGACCAGTCCTCGCTAACAGACAGCCTCCCAACCTGAAGCAAATACTCACCAGCAACCACACACCACACAACAAAAACACGAACCCAGGAACCTATCCTTGCAACAAAGCCCGATGCCAACTCTGTCCACATATTTATTCAAATGACACCATCATAGGACCTAATCACATTAGCCATGCCATCAGGGGCTCCTTCACCTGCACATCTACCAATGTGATATATGCCACCATGTGCCAGCAATGCCCCTTTGCCATGTACATTGGCCAAACCGGACAGTCTCTACGCAAAAGAATAAATGGACACAAATCTGACATCAGGAATCATAACATTCAAAAACCAGTAGGAGAACACTTCAACCTCTCTGGTCACTCAGTAACAGACTTAAAGGTGGCAATTTTGCAACAGAAAAGCTTCAAAAACAGACTCCAGCGAGAAACTGCTGAGCTTGAATTAATATGCAAACTAGATACCATTCACTTGGGTTTGAATAGAGACTGGGAGTGGCTGGGTCATTACACATATTGAATCTATTTCCCCATGTTAAGTATCCTCACACCTTCTTGTCAACTGTCTAAAATGGGCCATCTTGATTATCACTACAAAAAAAAATTTTCTCCTGCTAATAGCTCATCTTAATTAATTAGCCTCTTACAGTTGGTATGGCTACTTCCACTTTTTCATGTTCTCTGTATGTATATATATCTTCTTACTATATGTTCCATTCTATGCATCTGATGAAGTGGGCTGTAGCCCATGAAAGCTTATGCTCAAATAAATTTGTTAGTCTGTAAGGTGCCACAAGTACTCCTGTTCTTTTTGCGGATACACACTAACACGGCTGCTACTCTGAAACCTGTCATTTTGCAGACAGGGTAACAGCCCCGACCTGTAATTGTTGAGCAGCCCTGCTCCAAGCTCTGTTCCTAACCCTGGCACAAACTTCCTTTGGGAAGTGGGTTGGGCAAGTCACTGACAGGCATAAGTTTTTCAAGAGCGCTTACTCATTGTGTGTGCCTAATTTACAACACCTAGGACTTGTTTTTAGCAGTAATGAGCACTCACTAGTAGCTAAAATAATTGAGTGTTCCAGCTGGTCAGTGCTTTAGACACAGCTGCTGAGACACTGGAGAGGTATGGCAGCAGCAGAGCTCTTAAACAATAAAGCAACCAAAATTCGTGGACACTTTCCAAAATGTTAGCAGTGCCAGTTCTGTGCCTTTCTTACGTTACCCATAAATGGGAATAAGGAGGGAGTTTCACTGAAAAGGTGTGCAATAGACAGATTCAATAAAGCACCACTTCCACAAAGTCAACAAACACATAATTAACTGTTGAGCACACACTTTCAAGTCCCCTTAAAGTCAATAGGGTTTTAGTCCTTTGCTGAACAGGGATAAACTTAAATATGCATTTACATAGCTGCCACATCAGCTCTGTGTAAGCTGGAAAGCTTGTCTCTCTCACCAACGGAAGCTGGTCCAATAAAAAAATATTACTTCACCCACCTTATCTCTCTAATATACTGTAACATGGCTACAACAAGACTTCATGCAAGATCTATGACGTGTTCAGACAGTGTGATTTCCAGAGGCTCATAGTCCAGTAAATTAAAACCATTTTTTTCCATCAGAACCCTTAAAAGCCCTCCTTAGGGAAGCCAATTTCCATGCCTAATTTCAACTCTTGGTTCTCAGCTATTTCAGCTATCAAGTTATTTACACAAAAAAAGAGATCATGTTTTGTAATGGGGAAAGTATCTTTTTTCACTCTAATCTCACTCAAAAACAAATTAAACATTTTTCCCCCTCAAACTTTCTAGAATTATTTACCCTTTGGTTAAAGGCCACGTTTGGAAAATTTCAGCGTGAAAGGTGTACATTTCAGACAGTTATATGGCTGGAAATGGAGTTATAATGGAAACTATTATAGAACAGAACCATAAGGGGTTGTGAACAGAGACTACTGGCAGGGAAAAATCAACAGTTTTCTGACTGAATTATTCCTGAATACTTTGAAAGCCACTGTTTACAGTAGAATTACATTCACTTTATAAGGAAAGATTACAAGTGATGTAGTTACTTGGCTTCCTTGTATTCCAGTGGCTTGCATATACCGTTTCTGAGCTAAAGTACATATAACATCTCCCCCTTTCATGTGCTCACCCTGATTAACCCAGCAAATACCATTTTGGACCACACTGTACCTACAGTTATTCTGAGTACAAGTCTGCATTCCAAAGTCTTAAACTTCATATTAGGAACTAAACACACTAACTCTCTACAAGAACATGCACACAGAGAGATATTATATAGTGTATATTTACAGAAAGGGAGGTTCCCACACACTCAGATATGGAAACACCTAGCCCTAATCTAAACTGCCATAATTTGATATATATTTTACCTGTACAGAGAGTGAGCTTTTGAATAACAGTGTCTGAAAGATTTTGTCTCTCTCTTAGGGCTTGTGTACATGGGGAAATTGACTGGCATAGCTGTTTCTAAATAACTACAGTTTTCCATTATAGCTATAGAATAACTTATAGTAGAATAACTTCCATAATAAGAGTCCACACAGGGAGTTCTTCCAGCTAGCAATAGTGTTTTAAATGCACATCTTACCTTATTCCTGAATAACTTCCCCTTAGGCAATGGTATTATGTTTGAATATAACATAGGGCATTAAAGGCCTGATTTTCACAACTATTGATGCTAACATAGCATAGCACATTGTGCATACAATTATCAGTGATTGTGTGCAAACTGAGTACTTGCAAATAAGCAAATATGAATCCGTGTGTAGAAATACTCTGCTTGCACACGCAATCTCGCTAGTTGTTCATTCAATTTAGATGTGATTGTCTGGACAGCTTTGAAAATCCAGCCTTAACAGTACAGCAATTTATAACTTTATGTTTCTTAGAGGGGCTGAGCATCCACAGCTTCATTTGAAGTCTGAGGAACCTACAGGTGCCACCATTTCTGAAAAAAAGGCCTTCTAATCCTCAAACAAAGTTAATTCCTTCAAATCTTGCCTCATTTTCTTTCCTCAATAGGAGAGTCCAAAACCTAGATAACCTGAAGTGAATGTGGCAGAATATCTTTTCAGATTCAAATACTTTAGTTGTGTGGTTTTATTTTATTGTATTGACTTTTTGAACAATAGGCTATCATATTCAGCTAATTTATACTTGCAATATTATTTTATGCAAACTGGAATGGAGACAAAAAAGGTTACAGTTTATTTTATTAAGCTGTTGTGCTAATAATAACTTGAGAAATGACTCTTGTACTCAGTCTCAGATTACTTAACAAACAGGTCTTTGTTTCCTATGTTAAGTGTCATATTATGTTTCTGGTGGTTGCACCTGCCAGGTCCTTCTTTTATTCTGTCCTAGAGCCAAATTCCAATAAAATAATCCCACCCAATGTATTTAGCTTCCCCATTACCAAATCCTTCCAGAATGTATT